AGCTGGAGACTTTTGCTGGGGCCACCTTCACAGTCTACCGCTTGGCCTGCAGAGGGCAGCAGCGCCCAGACCTTCCCGCTTGCTTTTTTTCCAGTGTGGGTCGTCAGCCCTGCCCCTCTCTTCCCACCTGGCCCTTTTTTGGCAGTCTCCTCTAGAAGATCTTCTTAAAGTCCCCCCCTTCCCCCAACTGCCCTGGCAACAGATGGCCAGGAAGGAGGCCTGGCAGCAACAGTGGTGTTGGCTGGACCCCATCTGCTTTTGGGGTGCATGGAGGCAGCGCCTTCTCCCCACAGCCTGGCATCTGGCAATGCTCAGCGAGGGCAGGAGGCTGGGAAGCCGGGGCCTGCTGCCCCGCTGGCCTGCTTTGATCTGACATTCTCTCCTTTGCTTTCTTGTCACCCCCATGCTTCTTCCCAGAAAGAAGCTGAGTCGGTTTCTTCCCAATAGATTAGTTCCTGCCAAACTAGGGCAGGTGTCAGAGCAGCCAACAGGAGGTTTCTAATCCCCCTGCCGGCACTCCAACAGAAAGGGAGAAGAAAGAACTGGAGTGGGGAAGGTTCCCTTTCAGCAGCTCCAGAACCATTCCCTTTCCCTCCGCAGATAGGAAGGTGCAGGAAAGAGTCCTGCTTAGCTCCCTGTGAGACTAGGTAAAGCTCTATTAGATTCGTTGTTTTAGAACAGAAAGGGAGAAAATAAAAGACAACTGGAGGGGGGAAGGTTCTCTTTCAGCAGCTCGAGAACCATTCCCTTTCCCTCCACAGAGACAGAAAGATGCAGGAAAGGGCCCTGCTTAGCTCCCTGTGAGACTAGGTACGGCTCTTTAGATTTGTTACTAAGATTTCTTGCTTTAGAACAGGAAAAATGTCCCTTCTCTTGAGAAGCACCCTTTGCATATTTCTAAAAGCCTTCTTTCCGAGGAGGGTTTTTCTGTAGCGCTTTCTCTGCCGTGTGCGCTCACGCAGGCTCAGCTCTTCGCTGGGCTGTTGCGCGCACGCACGCGCGCGAGCTTCAATTTATCTTCTTTCTGCGAAACAAGCAGCACCTGCCCTATCATCAATGCCTCCTGATCATCCTCCCTCCTGGGGCTCGCAGGACTTCTCTCTGACCTTCCTGGGGCGGGGCGGGGGAGGGGGGTGTCATTCTGCAGTGGTGGCAGGACTCCATGCAGTTTGGGACCCTCATGCAGTAACCCTGTCCATGACCCAAGGTCCTTAAGTGAACTTTGTCCTTGAGGAAAGGACACAAGATGTGATACATCTTAGATCCAAGACCTGTTACAGAACAGCTCATTTCAGAAAACACTCATCACCCAGGATGCTAAAACGGGCTCAGGGCAGTACTGCCTGAACCTCCACCTCCACCTCCGACCTCCGTTGCTGGGGGGAGGTCAGCTCGCAGTGATTCCAGGGAAACATTAACATCAGACCCAGGGGCCCGGGGCAGAAGGGGCCTGGTCTTGAGAGCACAGAGCTGAATGCTAACATCTGTGTCAGCGTTTCCTCATTAGAGTCTACTCCCAGCTCAGGGGTCATACTTTATCTGAAGCTTTCCCTGAACCCCTAGATGGACTTAATCAGGCTGTCCTGTGAGCTCCAATGGCATCACGACGCCCAATTACAGCACTCACTTATCCAACGGGGTGTATTGCCTACTATGATAGGCACTGTTCTAGGGTGTTCCAAATAAACATTGACAGATTTAAAGCATGTAAAACAATTCTCATGAGGCTACAGATGGGGCAAGTAAGGCACAGAGAGGTTTAGGTCACCCAGCTGGTTAAGTGGCAGAGCTGAGATTCAAACCTGGGCAGCCTGGCTTCTTAACCACCCTCCAGGCTGCTTGTTCTAGTACAAGGCCTATAGCCGTCATGTGTTTGTCCTCCTCTGCAGACCACGAAGTCTTTGAGAACAGGGGCTGGAACTCACCCTCCTCTGCGCCCCCAGTGCTGACACCTGCACCTGGCACACTGCAGGTCCTGACCACGAACACAAGGCATGCTCCCCGGTCATCTGTAGAAACTACAAGGCATGGACTCCTCCTAGAGCCAGTTACAATTTCCACAGGGATCAGGGCCTTAAGCTAAGCAGGAGTCTCAGTCTTTTCCCCATGGAACACTGAGGCTGCACACGGAGAGCTCGCTACAGCTCTCACCTGGGAGTGCCCATGTTGGCGAGGCGGGAGAGGGCAGCTGGGGGTGGGGCCGCGTTTGACCCGTGGAGTTTGAAAAGCCCCCAGCTGTTTCTAATATGCCCTTTGGGTGCTGCCTCTTCATTGAGAATCCCTGAGCAGGACAGATAAGGCACTGAGATTCTAGGCAATAGTCCAGGGAGGGAGGAGGAATCTGAGGATGTTGGGGACAAGGTCTTCCACTCATCTCCCAGACTCTTCTAAAGGCCATCCCTGCATCAAGCCAAGGGGGAACAAATAGCTTTACTTCCCTTGTGGAAAACATTTTTCTTTTCCTTTTCCCTGAGGGCCAGTGGAACTCCCATGGGAACTGATTGTGCATTTGAGCAAGCTCTTGAGAGGAGACGGGAAAGCCAGAGCGTTTACATCCTTCCCTGACCTGATTCCATTTCAAGGACGTGGGTCACTGGCTGCTGGCAGCTGACAAAGTTATATGCATAACTTCCAACAGTTTTGTGACCAAATTTGGGCATCGGTTTATTTATTTTTTTGTCCCTGAGGTGATTGTCATTATTTACTGTAAATTCCATTATTCAGTCCCAGCAGGAAAAGCCTTTCTTTTCTTCCTACACGATTCTCATTAATTAGAAGTTGCTATTACTCACTGGCTATAACCTAACTAATGACCTAACTTACGCCCTTTAAATGAGAAGTCTTACCACAGGCCTCTAGCTCCTCTGCCTTGTGAGTGGCAAACCCTCCCCCTGGGACTCTGTGCCTCGTGGTTGGGTATATAAAACAGCAACACGTGTAACACCGCAGATGGGTTTGGCAAAGTTGCAGCAAAGCATACACACAAAACAAAAAGCAGGCCTTTATGTCCAGCTCTACTGCTTTGTAGTAGGACCCCAGGAAAGCAACACTGCTCATCTTGTCCTCATGTCCTCATTTATAGATTAGGCTAAGACACGGCACTTTGGTTTCCTCTTGTGCGCTGCTGGGACCGCCAGGTGGTGGCTGCCTGCAACGCTCGGCTGTAACAGTGTAGTGGGGAATGGTTCTGTGACTGATCACTGATGCTTGCTGTGGGTGAAGGAGCATGAGTGGTGTAATGTACCAAGTGTTCGCCAACTCTGGGTTGGCAATGTCTTAGGTCTGTCCCTATAGAAATACACAAATTGTGTTTAATGTATGAGATGGCCCTAGAGGCAAGACTGACCAGCAGAAGTTTAGTACTTCTGTATGTTATCTGTAGGTACAGATTCCTAAGGCCACCAAAAGTTCTGGGAATCTTGGTGACTTTGGTGTGCCTCAAACATTTTCGTGTCCTGGACGAGCCTGACACCTGGACTGAAGTGGAATCTGTCTTCATGTGCCGTTTTCAGCCAGGCTAGGCTTTCTGATCCCAATCGTTTCTTCCTCCCAGAGGTGGGAGGTCTGCTCAATAGTGGGGTGACTTTTTAAAGCCTGGGAAGACACTGTTGAAATACAGAGATAATAAAGTAAGTCAAATTCATAGTATTAATACTTTGGTATGATTTAAGAATGCTTTATAATCATTGGGATATTTTGTGTGTATTTGTATTTTAAGGTGTCTGAAATCAATCTGGCATACTAGATGCTCTGAGTACAATTTGAAATGTGTAATCGTATTAGACTTATGATATTAGTTTTAAAGGTGTAGTAAACTTTTAAGTTTGTAAACGGCATTTTAATGTTTTGGAGAACCTAGTTTACTATGTTTTATTCAAATTTGATAGATTGATTGGAATTGCTAAGTGCACAGGAAGATTTTGTTTTTAGTTTTGTAAGTCTGTCAGGCTTTTGAGGTGTTTGAGAGAAGTCAGGGATGTTAAATGTGTAAAAGTTCCTGAGGGAACCTAATTCATAAACTGGGTTAGTTATTTAGAATTTAATCTTTGAAAGTTATCAGTTAATTGAGTGTAATCAAAGAAAAACAATGAGTATGAATTCTTATTTTTATCTAGAAGTAATAGATTTATATAAGACTTCTAAAGTAAATTTAAAGGCCTAGGGAACACTAGGCTTTTGAATTTACAATTTTCAGTATATTTCATTAATTAAAATCCAGTTGTTAGAGGAGTCCTTTCAGTGCACAAATCTCCCTCAGACACTGAAAAGCTCAAACGACATTAGCCAGCACGTCACAAGTGGCAGTGAAGGAGCCGCAAGATGGCTTCCCTGATGCTAAGACAGCTCACAGCTTGATTAATTTTTCTTGGAGTTCTTCCTGACTGACTAACTGGTTTTACTCCTTGTTACTGCTATTGTTTAACTTGCTTGAATGATTACATGCTCAGCAGCCCCAACGCTATGATTTACACCCTATCCTGAATCCATTGTATTCAAAACCCAGAAGCTATTTTCCAGAAAGGTCATGAAATGGTAACACTGAAGGAATGGCCAGATCCTCCAACAGCCCCGCTGACACCAGAGGGATCAGACCTGATAACACCAAGACCCAGAGCAACGACCTACTTAACGGACCACCAGAAGTTCCTGCGACATAAGATAAATTTTTGTAAAAGACTCTATTGTTCGTTATCTCTGTCCCGTTTGCCTATATAATCACCAAGCCCCAACCCCAGGATGGATTCACAGTTTCCTTTGCTGGGCAAAGCAATAAAGCGGCTCTCTTCTTTGCTCCCAAAACTCTGCCTCTGAGTTTGAATTTGTTTTTCAGGGTGCGAGGCTGATTTTTCAGTAATGGTAGTTATAATTAACAGTAACTCCTGTTGTCCTTCTGTTCCTTTGAATCCTTGCAGTGAATCTTCCACAGCTGTGTCAATTTCTTGAGATTCCGAGGATCCTGATTAGCTGAAGGTAAAGATTATTCCAAAGCAAAACAACACTTCGAGTCAATAATTTTATTACTATTACTTTTCACACCGAGGAGACTTAGTTACAGAAAGTGAGATATTCTATGAGTTGATTATCAGTAGTAGAAGCACAAAGGTGTGGAAAGTGTAACATGAACACAGTGAAGAAGTACCCTTTATCAGGGTAAGTCCATGTGACAGAAACACATTAATCCAAACAGCCTATGTACAAATAAATATAGCTTTCGGTCTATGTACAGACATATTCACAGAGAATAAACCGACGCAAAATCTCCATACATCTCATCATCCAGTGAAAATTGCTCATACAAACAAAACACACACAAAATGACAAAAGTAACTTGGAAGTGCATCAGCTGGATTCTTGGAGGGGTCAAGATAGAGGTTAAAACACTTCTTTAAAACGGAGGCAGACAGGAAGCATGAGATGACATCTATCCCTAAAAAGATCCTTTACAAAAATGGCGTTCTGATGTTTGTAATTAACGTGCCCAAAAAACAGTTTACAAGTTAAGGGCAAATGCCTACGCTGGGGTCAATGCTGACAACATTGTCTCTGTTTTAACAATATGCGAAGAACAAAAGTAGTATAATTAACCTTTCCTTTACTTCTAGCAGCCACTTCATTAAACCAGGAAGCTACTTTTCACTCCTCTTATGGCTCTTTTGAGACTGTGGATTTCTTGTTGATGGAAGCTGTTGCTTCTGGAGTTTTTGAAAACTGGAGCAGAAGAAAAGCATCCAGGCTAGATGCAGGACACAAATATAAACTTTGTGTGCAGGGTTCAACAGGACTATCTGCCAGTGAGGCTCCCTCTTCCAGGTGGAGTTTCTGCCCTTTGGAGAAATGCTTCAGACCACAAAACAGCCCCAAACAGAAACATCAAAACGTCATTGGCTCTGGCTCCAGACAATCATTCTTTAGGGCAAATGGCCATTTAAACATAAAGTTGATGGGGTCGTTCAATTTAACACATGTATTTACTCTACATTGACAACTTAGGTACCTCGGAGGTGGCGATTTCTAGGCTTAGTGCCTTTTAGTCATTCTTTCAGCTTTCACTCAAATCATATAAACAGTTGTGATGGAGTGAAACATTAGAAGTTTTGAGTTGTGGGAACATCTATGTGTATATGTGTGTAAGTATTCTACCATAGGAGGCCAGAAATTGAGTATTTTAGCAGAAAAGGGAAAAAAAAACCCCAACACATTATGAAGTCTTCTGTTTTACAAGTCCTCCCGAGGAAGGTTTGTAATTTAGGCATAAGAAGTTGATAAACTGTGTATCTCTACTTGCCATTTTTATAAGGGAACTTCTTAGATCCGTCTTGTATTTATATAAACTCAAATAAACCTTAAATTTTCCAAGTAAATATTTGCTAATTATCCATTTCACTCTCCATATGGGTGAACCTTGCTTTATATAACAAATGGACTCCTGAAAACAGTAAATCTGTAACTTAAAAAAGGAAATACTTTCAATGTAGCATCAGAACTTGCTATTTAAAGGAAATGTGTAACAAGCTATTTTGAGAGTGAAGAGTGCTTTTGTGAAATGAACCATTTCTCTGATTTTTAGTCTTATTAAAGTACACACCTAAATTTTATCTGGAGATTAGGATTGTCTAGAACAGTAATTGTACGCCTTGAAAAATAGAACAGATAAACTCCAATTTACAACAAACAATACAAAAGAGGAATGACTCATGGACTGCTTACTGACTGACTGTATTCAGAAGCCCTGAATATATGTATTACTGGTATTTTATGGCTTTAATTAAGACAATCGTCTCTTATGAAGTACTATAAAGTGCAATATTAAAAAATTAAAAAACCCAAAAGGCATCCATTGTCCTTCAGTTTTATCCTGATGCGAATTGGAGATTTGGTTAATTAAATGGCAAGGAATTATCTATCCTTAATTCATGCATGTAATTTCAGCCTTAAAATTATTTTATTCAGGGATTCAGACTTCATTCATTATTCTTTTTGACACGATTTAAAAAAATTAGTGTACTCTTTCAGTTAGCTGAGTGCTTTCTGTCAGTCCCAAGGCCTTAGTTACTTCTAGATCCAGGAGCAAATTGTAGCCCATTGTCCCAGAGAACTGTAGCCCATTGTCCCGGAGAACTGTAGCCCATTGTCCCAGGCCAGGACCTCAATTAGCAATCTTACAATTCCCACCCAACCCACCGCACGAGGAAGTTAAGTGCGCTGCAATGCTGGGTGATGAGAGGTGGTCCAACCATTTCTCCCATTTCCCACTGAGAGCAAAAATACAAATTCCTTTTGGTAAGTCAGTGCAGGTAAGTGCAGTCCAGAGTTCCTGAATGATCTCCAGTGGTGTCTCCCCCATTCTGGGGCCTTTGTGAGTATGGGATTAGGACCTTAAAAATGAAGCAGCTGAGCTTGACCTCACCAAGGCCTCCAGACGATGCCTCACCCAGTGTTCACACTCTTCACCAGAGGACAGGTGCCTGGTAGTACCTGCTGAGTCGAAGCCTACTGATGCTCTTAAGGTACTTCCGTGACTCACTCTCTTGTGGTTGTGAATTCTGTACACATCTTGGTATCAGTTCGGAGGGATTTCCCCTACCACTAGTAGTCAATTACACAAGACATAAGTTGTTGGGGGCAGGGGTCTAGCATTTTTGAATCTTCACCTTAATGTGAAGATGCGAGATGTGAGATGTGAGAAAATGCTCATTAGACTTGCCAAGCCCAAGTAAAGTGGGGAGGTTGGTGGTGAGAACCTGGAAGGCGAGTAAGCACCAGGCCCAACCTGGACTGGAAAGCTGGAAGTTGGGGTTGGAAAGAAACAGGCTGAGACTCAATAAGGCCCAATGGAGAGGGGCTCATGGTAGGCAGGACACACCCATCCAAGTGCACGGGGCCAAGCTGAGATACACACTGCCTTCATCCGAACGTCTTGGAGAAATGTACAGGAGTCACAGGGAACACAAGGTTAATGTGAAGTAGCAATGAAGTGTGACTTTCTAAAGGTAAGGACCACAGAGGGCTGCATAAAAAGACAGCAAAGCATTGGGTTTGAGGCTGTCATTCAGCCCTGTTCAGACTTTATCCTTGTGTTCTGATTAGTCAAAAGGTTCCAAGATTTCAGAGCAACATATGGCATTCTAAAAGACTTAGTAGAGAAGAATTTAAAAATTATTAGGCAGATTGAAGAAAAAGACTCAGAAATAAAAATCTAAAGATACCTTTGATGAAAATAGATAAAGGGTCACCTAGTAGAGACTCCCAGCTCTGCCGGGGGTAAATAGTGAGGAGGGCCCCAGTGCAGCTCTTCTCTGCCAGTAAGAAGAAAATAGGTGAACTCATCACCTTGAAGGGCTGGGGTTAACCTGAAGGAAGATTTCCCTGACACTGATGGTTGTTAATGTGAAGAGGTGGTGGAGCTGGGTTATACCAGGAACATCTATGCTCGGACCCCCCTCCTACAGAAGGACTCTCCCAGCCCGTGCGTTTCAAAGCTCCCAGTGAAGTGGAAAAAAAAAAGACTGTGATGCGCTATGGACAAGTAATGGCGTTGAGCTGGCTGTGAGTGTGCCCTTCCTGGCTTTTCTCATTTGCAAGGTATCTCCAAGAATGGGACGCTGAGATTAAAAGTGAAACATAAAAGCTACAGAGGCAAGGAGAGAACTTAAATAGGCAGTGGAGGCCCCTTACCTTTCTTCCCAAGGCCTTCTTGAGAAGGGAATATATTTTTATCTGGGAATCTATATAGGCTTATGTAAATTGGGTAAAAAAAAAAAAGCCCGACACTTGTAATTATTTTAAACTACACAGGGATATATATCAATGCGACACTTGCTTTTTTGGGAATCTTAGTAAAAGTAAATGAATTTCTCCTTTCTTATCTCTCCTCATTCTTTGCTTTTTCACTTTCTCTTCACGACAAGCCCGTACCTACTAATTGAAGACAGTCTTGAGAAGGGATGTATAGGAGTTGAGGATGTGGCTTTTAAAAATATTAAGCCAGGTGGTTATGTAAGATACTGGCTTAGCAAGAATGAGCGTTAGCCTCTGTAACAAGCTTTCAGGAGACAGCTGATTTCTCCAGAAATCACCTTGAGAACAGCTTCCCTTTATTTTTTCTAGAACAGAGTTGCCACTTCCAGTATAGACACTTAATTACTGGAGTAATAATCTGTCCAGGTGTAAGGAAGCATGGCACCCTCACAATCGTGTGTGTGCGTGTGTGCACGAGTGTGTGTTGGCAGATGTAGGAAAGAAAGAAAGCACACTGACGTTGGCTGAGATGCCTGCATTCAGATGGGTCGTCAGACCCGTATCAGACATCCCAATCCAGCAGTTTCAGCAGAGCGTTTAACATGAGTCCCCCTTCTCCAGCTGCCCATCTGGCCAGCAGCTCTTTCTGTTGTCACTTCCCTGCTCAGCTTTCTGTTAAGGCCGTCTGGGAGGGGGGCTTCCCTTGATAGCTCGTCTCCTTTCTCCATGGTACTGAGGAGCTGAAGAGCTGTGAGCAACGGTGGGGAGTCTGCCAACTTCCTCCCTGCCCAGCAATGATGTGCATTAATATTATCGAATGTCTCATCAGCGAGGCAGCTGTGTTTTGCTGAAAGGGCTCCAAACACCTGATTCACGTCTTCCCGAGAAAATAAATTATAATGGCCCCTGTCAGCTGACACCTGTTAGAAGCCTTACAAAGCATTTTCCCCAAATATGAAACAGTCCCTGTGTCTTTTTATAATCTCCTGGGCAAGGCGCTAGGAAATTCTGCTGCATCGACCAGTTTGATAAAACAACCCTCGTCCTTCGTCTCTGTAAGTTACTGTGTTTTCCTGATCTGTCACAGCCTGGCTCAGCTTAGGTCCGGGAAGCTGCATAAACACCATCTAATCTCCAGCTTCTGTTCTTCAGGAACTAGTCCGGTTCAGAGCGCAGCTGGACTCAGCGTGCGCACTCCCGGATGCGATTTAGAAGGTTCTGTCTGGGTATTCTCAGCGTGAGCCAAGTTGCTCTCCTGTCCTGAGACGGCCCAGGTTGACAGGAGAGGTGACAACAAGCAAGACCTACCGGGCTCGCTGCAGGTAAATGGAACCATTTGGGCACAGCTCGTTTATTTTAGATTGGACAGTAGGAGGCTGGCTTTTGAATTTTTGTTATTATTTTATACTCTGCTCCAGAAAAGCGAAGAGGGTATCTGTAGTCTGAATCTTCTCCCCCTGTGCTTTGCTGTTGTGCATTCTTTGCCTCTGTATCAGCGTTAGGGAACTGGCTGGCCATTTCCATAAGGCTGCAAATCTGTTCCTGGGGCAGGAAAATACATGGGGCGGGTGCATATGTGTCTGTTGGCCTGTACCTGGGCAAAGACCAAACCTCATGGGATCAGGAAGAAATGTTCCCTTGGGTCGCTGGTGCACACAGTTTTCCTTTCCCTTCACTAAGGCACACTTCAGTGCTCCTGCTTTTGAATCCTGAGTGTGACTGGATCAGAGGGCGATGATGTGAGTGGTATTGTGTGTGTATATATAGATCAGGTATGAAGACATTTGTTTATATATGTATCTACACAGGCATGCAGGAAAGGCATTAGAGATGATCTACTCAGGAAACCACATTGTGGAAGATTCTTATAATTATGTTAAAGATTCAAATGCTTTTTAAGATCCACTGTTTTAATTCTTTTTTTTAATGGAGGTACTGGGGATTGAACCCAGTACCTCATGCATGCTAAGCATGCACTCTACCACTGATCTATTTCCCTCCCTAAAAATCCATGGTTGCATTCTATACGTACACGTCTCTCTGGATTTACCCAAGGCAGGCAAACACATAACCTCACAGACACTTTACAGAGGAAAAGCAAGGGCAAGCAGTGGCGAGGAGAGGGTGCCTGCAGACCAGCCAGTGAGGGAACACTGCACACCACTGAGGTGGGAACTGGGCTGGGAAACAGTGTCTTCTCAAACGCAACTTGTCACAAATGACCACAACCCTCCCTCGGAAGGGAAGCTCCCAGGCAAGTAAAATGCTCCATGGCTGCTCAGATGAGTCTCCACTGTGAGCTGGAAATGAGTGGGAAAGAGTGAGGGGGCAGGGAGAGCACGGGGAAGCTGGAAAAGGAACAAGCTACACCGGACCTCCCGCATCCTTTCTGCTTTTACAGAATCTATCTGCAGTTGAGTCAGAGTCACCTGTTCAAACCACCTTTCAAATTGATAAACCAGTCAATAATACATATTCACACAATAAACAACTCTGCTCCCCTTCAAGTAACGCACAGGGAAAACCACCAGAGTTAACTAAATGTTCACCTACTCATTCTTCACTTGAAGGAAACAGCACAAATTTTTGCCTCAACACAAAATCCTGCCCTTGATGAATGAGACATGGGTTTCTCTCAGACAACCAAACTCTTGACTTTGCGAAGTTGGAGAGACTGAAACCAAGATGGCGGCCACTCAGAAGCGCCACGGTGGGCACTGCCTGTTGCTGCCAGGCTCCGTGCAGTGAGCTGAGGTTTTGTGGAAGGAATACTGAACTTGCTCCAGGGCTCTTAGGTCCCCCTTCCTCTTTATTTAGTTGTGAGTTCGGCATCCTGCCTCCCTGTGTTAGGAGGTATGTGCTCACCACAAAGTCACAGCAGCATCAGTGACACAACAGACAGGAGAGAAGAAGACAGGTGTGCAGTTCCCCACACGCAGTATGTGCTAACTTAGATGCAGGATGGCTATAGAATAATGGGCCGTCCGCCACTTTTTCAATTGACTTTAAGGAAATGACTTGGGGAAATGAAAAACTCTGCTTATGTTTCACCAATTCAGTCTGCCTAATTTTTTTCCCTGCTAGTTTTATTTTCTATAGACACAGACCTGGGGAATCATACAAGGTGTCAAATAGAACTTGGGGGCACTGAATGAATGAAATGAAAATGTCCTATGAATGCTCTGGAAATCAAAACCTTGGAGTGACTGGCTGGAAGCCAGAGTAAAGAAGCTGTTGAATGCTGTCTGCAGACTCCTCTGGAAGCTAGAAAGAGTCCCAGGTGGGGCCCTGATGGCAGGAGAGACACCTGCATAGCATGGGCTTTAACCAAATCCTGGTCCTGGCACCACTAGACACAGGACTCAGAAACCTTCCTAGAGAGCAAACGACTTTCCAAGCAGCTGCCTGAAACCAAGCAGTATTGATCTGAGTCAATTTAATTCTTTCTACTGGTTGGAGGAATAATGATTTCTTCAGTCATTGAAGCCCTTTACGACCACACTGGAAGATGATTTAAAAAACTATGCCCTCACGTTCCCACTCGGGGGCAAGTTCCACTGAGCACCTCTACTGGATGGTGTTTCTCAGTGCATATTCAGGCTCTCTCGACAGATATTTTGATTATATATGAGCCCTTAGCATCAAAATATGTCTAAATGACAGTCACAGCTAAACTTGCCCCCTTCTTTTGATGATAACAGGACATGCGTTGGGACAATCTAGGTTCAGTTTATGTAGTCTTGCTGTCCTGGAAGAGCACTAATTTGGTTTGCAATTACATTTTCTACTTGCATGCTGGGGAAGTATTAAAAAAAAAAGCCCCAAACCCAACCCTGGTCACCTCTCTGTGCCCCAAACCAGTATCCACCCAGTCTGGGTTTTCACCTCTGAATGTCCCAACAACCCTGTGGGTTCCGTGTACCCCAGCTGGGGTAGACGGATGGTCTTCCCGGTTTGGCTTGTGGGAATGTCCTGGAGGACTCTGTTCAGGGTCCCTACAGACCCCCTCCACCCAACCCTCCCTCCTGCAACTTGTTTTCTGAAAATATTCACCTTACCAGGCAGAATCCCAGGGTGTCCAAGGTCAGCTGAAGGTCACAGCAATGATTCTCTTAGTTCACCTCTTGCACTTAAGAGGTAAAGCTCAGACCGAAGGTTGATGCCCCTCTTCAGATAGGTACTATAAATATACTAGCGCTATCCCTGAAAAGATGCAGTTGTATTTATATATATATATATATACGATTTTATATATATATAATTTTTCCTTCTTTGTGTCTGTATACAGGTATGTACTACTCTATAGGTGTACTTACAGGAAGAGGTACACTACAGGAACAGGCAGGGGTGTGTTCATGTGCATCTATATATAATATGTATATTTTACACGTATATATATTGCCTCCGTCATTGTTTGCATTGTAACAAGGAACGTTACCTCTGACCAGCAAGGAGTACCTGTCAGCGGTGCGGGGACGGAAGCCCCCCGAGGTCGGTTCTCCCCGTCTCTCGCATGAAGCCGTTTCAGTAGGCACAGACGGGAGCAGCCCGCGAAGTGCGTGGGCCCAGCGAGAATCCACCCCTCCGGAATCCGCCAGGAGGGACACGCGACATGCCCAGGGCTGTGTGCCAGCTGCCTCTTCTCCGGAGATCAAGGAGCCTACCACCCAGAGCCGGGAGGGGCCATCCATGCTGTTGGCTCAAGATACGGCTGTTCCTGTTAGATGGAGACAGGGCACACAAGAATTCTGTCTTCGAGGAGGACGCTGACCACGAGGAACGCGAAGTAGAGGCCGAACATGATGAAGCCCAGCACTTTGTTCATCCGCCACTTGCAGAGGGCGATGGAGAGGATGACGAAGAGCAGCATGATGAAGAGGAGGACGATGGCGCAGAAGAGGCCGTTGCTGCTGACGGCCACGGGCTGGAATCTGTGGATGACGGTGTACAGGAGCCAGGGCAGTGGGAGCCTGTGAGGGGAGAGGCGGGGTACACGGGGGAGCAGTCAGACGCGCCGAAGAAGGCAGGTGATGGAACGTTAGCTTCGGGATCCATGATCCGAATGGAGAGTCCTGCTAGGCTCACGGTGCCTCGGGCGAGGTTGGCCCAGGAAGTCATATAAGGAAGCCAGGTGAACTTTAAAAGCCTTTATCTATTTCCCGACCAAATTAGGGAGAACAGAGAGAATTTCTTCTAAGGTTGACTAAGATCAAAGACATGACTGCTGCAGCTGATTTCTAAATCTGGTTTGAAATAATTTTTTGGTTTCCTTCCTAGTTCGGATTTAGCCCCAGAGAGGTGAACTGAAGGATTTGTGCAGGGTGAGAGGGGGAGACAATAAATGGAGAAAAGATACAGAAATTAGTGTTGAAAATGGCCAAATTACTATTATTTTTTAAATGGAGAGAGAGAATAGCAATGACTTAATTAAAAATCTAAGAGCAAGTGAAAAGAAATGTGGATGGTGGGGGCCATGATGTGACATAGTCTGAAGTTTATTTTGGAAAAGATGGGATAAACTTCTGACTTAAAAAGGGTCTTTCTGAAAGATCTGAGGAAGACTATCTTGTGCTTGTGATGAAATTTTTAAAGATGCTATTATGTATTTTTATACCCATTCTCTCCCTTTTCATTTGGCTTTTGAAATATGATCATATCTTTTGTTAACCATCCAGAGTGGCGACTCCTGAAAGGACATTAGAAAAGCCAACTGCCAGGTCCACCCAGGAGTGGGTGAGGACTCTGTGGGCAAGGAAATGGCTGGGGACGCATGACTCAGGGGCACGTGGATCTCCACGTGGCAGGTGAGATGCCACCGAGTTCTACCCATTGAGCCTAACGATGACTAGGGAGCCACGGATCCAGCCGGCTGGGCCTTCTGCACAGCAGACAGCTAAGGGAGACTTAGCCTTGATCTAGCATCAGGGATGTGGAAGAGGAGATGCCCTTTCGAAACAAAGTTTTCCAAAGGAAAAGCAAATAGCTGGAGAGAAGCAGTGTGGTGAAAGGGGCAGTGAGTTCACACCCCTCTCCCCTCTGCTGGAGACAGTGCCTGTGAAGGCAGAGCCCACAAGTTATCCATCTTTGAATTCCGGGGACTTCACACATGCACATGCAGGCTCCATCCGGGTGCATATGGTAACCTGGGAAGTGACTGATGCAACAATCAGTATAGGTGCTTTGCCCACTACAGCCTGGCTAGGAGGCACTTACTAAAGTGGGCGATGGCAAGAGGGGAGGAGTTCCAGAGGGCAGCTCAGGGAGCAAGATGTAATTCCAGCTGTCAGCAGGAGGGGGCAGCCCTGGCATCCTGTGATCAGCACTGGAGAGTCAGAGAAGGGGAGGGGAGCGCCCAAGAGCAGTGATGACACTTGTGCTGAGGGACTCTTCTTCCACACTCTTCCCGTCTCCTCCCACTGTACTCTTATTAAGCTAAACACACACACACACACACACACACACATTCAATTTGTGAAATTTGGTGAAGGTGTGGTTTACAGCACTACAAATAGGTAAAAACCCTTTGGGGGATATGACATTTTTAACCCCTTTTGACCTATCAAGTTTATTGTCAGAGATCAAGTATAAGGAATAATTTGAAATGCAGATGCAATTTTATTCTGAAAGATGATCATTTCAGTGTTATTTGGAGTAGGGATACTTTAATCTCTAATAATAGGGAGCTAGTTAAATAGCAAACTATTAAGTTAATGTAATGTTATGTAGTTATTAAAAATCATAAACTTACAATGATACAGGCTAATACTCATGATTCTATATTTAAAATGAAGGATACACATACAAATTGCAATGTAACTTCAATAATGTAAAATATATATGAATTAAAAAGGAGTGGTGTTGGTTTGTATTTATGCTCTAGATGTATTTATGCTTCATATGTATTTTCTAAATCCTTTACCTTGAATATGTATTAATCTTATAAGCAAAAAGAAAAAACTGGCAAGACTGAAGAAACTGTTACACTCACTATATGCTATTGATTTTGTAAACTGATATAAACTCTTGGGGAAGAGCTTTTGGAAACATGTATTACATCAGGGATCACTGAAACATTTACAATCTTTAATCCACCAATATTTCTTGAAGGAATTTACTTTAATAAAATAATTCAAAGAGATTTTTCCACAAAAAAAGTGTTCATAAAACACTCAAAATATTAGAAAATTGGAAAAAATACAAAGGTCCTACTAAAGGATAATGGTTAAACTAAAAGCAAAAAGACAGAATATTTTGAAGCCAGAGAATGTTCACTGTGAGAGCTATGAAGAAAACTGGTAGATTTACTAGTTTACTAATATATTCCTACTCTGTACTAGACACAAATGGCTATAACATTGAAAAATAAAAGCCCTCCAGGAGGTCAAAGCTGATTATTCAGTAGGATTAGGGGTGATTTTCTTTAACCTTTCATTTAGGCTTCAAGATATATGCAATTTAAGAACAATGAACAAAAAGCATTTTGGAATTCAGTAGAATATTTTTCAAAAACATGACATATGTTTCATAGAACACTTGTAATTTTCCCCAATATGTAGGGTTTTATCTTTTTGTACTACGGAGTATTTTCTATTTTTACAAGAGATTGACCAAGAAAACTAAATGTGTAGGCAGTGGAACTAAGAACACTTTATACTAGGGACATCCTTCCTTTAAAACATACACCTTTTCAGGCATTCATTCACTCATTCACTCATCCATCCATGCATCCATCCATCTATTTACTGTACGAACACTTGTCAAGCCACTATCATGCACTAGGCGTTGTATCAGGCTTGGTGAGTTCGCAGTCTAGCAGGCAGGACCATGACAGGAGTCTGATACACAGGGAGTGGACAGAAGCACGAGCCCCCAGGGCAGGCTTAAGGGAATCAGAGAAGCCAGGATTTGAGTTAACATTGGAAGGATAAGTTGGAGTTTTCCAGGCAGACAAGCAGCAAGGGCGCTTGAGTGAGAGGTGCCAGCAAAGGAAGAGAATATGGTAGGAGAGGGCACCTTTGGAACTCAGAGGTGGTTCAGACAGGGGGAGCTCAGAGCAGGATTTTGTGCACAGATAGTGCTGAGTTGAGAGCAGACTCTCTTCAAATCCCAGCTATCTCATTCACTAGTTGTGTGAACTGTGGGCCCTTCAGTTTCCTTATCTGGAAAATGGGGATGATTGTAAATACCTCATAGGATTGTTGTGTGGCTTAAACGGATACACATGTGTGTACAGTGCACATGGTAGATGATGAGAAAACTACTATGTATATGAGGGAATGGAAAAGATAAAAGAGAACAATATTCAACATGTTCAGTGAGAAAGTAGATCCATTTTAGTGGCTTTCCAAATTCAAGTGCCAAGAGCCCCGCTCTTGTGGGAACATAAAGATAAATACCGTATGTCTTACTTTCTCAGGGGGCTGCCATTCTGGGTAATTTATCAGACCACTTTTACTTTGGACAAGTTAAATGAAGTGATAGAAATAACAGCATTGCTCCCCAATCAGATCCACTTTACAGACTATTCATATTGAGAACTTCAGTGTGCCTAACTGTAAGAACAGGTCTCATCTTCTGACTTTCAAAACACCTAGACTATGTTCACCAGCACAGAGAGAGAAATGATAATTCCAAATCTGCCAGCATTTTCCAGGGAAGGAGATGCGATGTTTTTCCTGGGCCTATGTTTGTTCCAGTCTGTTAGAACATGGGGGAAAAAAACCCAGTAAAACTACCAGAGTATCTCAGTCACATCTGAATGCTGAATATTCATAACATGTAGCCAATGCCATTTAATAGGTGAAATTCTCTTAAATTATTTCCTGTATGACCCACTCTGTATGCAAGTGTGTGTTTCTGCCTGTCTAGGGATAACTTATTCTTCATAAAGTTCTCTGAAAATGAAAAATGGAGTCGGGGAAACTGAATGACATTCCCAGTCTTTACTTTCTACTGGTAATGGCTGGTTACGGGCTTTGAGGTCCTGGTCATGTCTTCACAGTCTCTAAGAAGACAAAGACAGGGATGGAGTTGTTGTGCACCTTTGTATAACTTATCTGTACTCACCCTACAGTGATGTCAAAAATGTTGCTTCCAACAGAGCTGGATACAGCCATGTCCCCGAGCCCCTTCCGGGCCACTATGACACTGGTGATAAGATCAGGGATGGATGTCCCAGCAGCCAAGATGGTCAGACCCATAATCTCTTCACTAATGCCAATTGTCTCTCCAACCTGAAAGCCATGACAGGGACAAACATGGGTGTTTGAAGCCACAAAACCACTAACATTTCAATGCAACTCACTTTTGATGAGTTCTTACTCTGTGCTGTGCTGAGTGTTGAGATGATAACAAGGAATATGCCAGAATGGTTGCCAGAGAGGATTTTTGACTTGAAAGACATCCAGACTTGAGAGATCAGGAATGTTCACACGAAGAATGAATACATAATCTCAAAAAAGAGCTACAGAGGGCTCCAGTGCCTACCTGGGTTTTACTAAAGCCAGGCAGGGGAAGCAGAGGACCAGGGCTGAACATGCCAACTGGTCATTGGCTCCAGCGGCCACTGCCTGACAACAGCACCAAAGCCTCAAGCAGATTTACCATCGAAGGTTAAGGACTGACACCCAGTGTCCTCATTTTTCCTGAACATCTCCTCGTGTCTGCAGCCCACTCTTAAACAATGACTCTTAGATGATACCATTTCCATGGGAAACTTGATTTGGAGGGCTTTTGGGTTTGGTAATACAATACTGTAAATCAGCAAGGCAGCCATGGAGAAAGCAACAGTTAGAGAATCAGAAGACCTTGGTCCAAGGTCTGGCTCCGGCATTTATTAAGTACTTGATCTATTGCTAACTGAACCAATTGGGCAATGTCTTTAATCTTTCTTTTTTTCCCTCCCAGTTTTATTGAGATATCATTGACACATAGCACCGTATAAGTTTAAGGTGTAGAGCATAATGATTTGACTTACCTACATCATGAAATGAGTATCACATAAGTTTAGTAAACACCCATCATCTCATACACACAATTAAATAGAAAACTTTTTTCCTTATAATGAGAACTCTTAGGATTTATTCTCTTAACAACTATCATATATAATGTACAGCTGTGTTAATTGTATTTTGATTCTCACTTTCTTAGCCATAAAGTGGTGATGATAATACTTAACCTTACAAGGTGGCTGTGAACACTAAATTATAATTTATGGGAAGACCCTTTGTGAACAGTACATCATTATTGCAAAGTGACAGGGAGCATTTGTTACTCTTTGGGTCTTTGCCTTTGAAGACCGATGACTTTTGGAGGTCTGATCTTAGGTGCAAGCCCTCCGCTCTTGAGCAACTTCCTGGTGCTTGTTTGTCAGCTTGCGGTCTTTCTTTTAAAAGCTTTATGTATTTTCTGGAGTTCAGAACTGCAGTCTGAAAACTTTCAATTTGGTTTCCAATGGCCTGCCTGATAATGTCCAGTATTTTTTGGAAAAAATGTGAAGGACCAATGTAGCACGTAAGGATAGAGGTTTTGGGGGAATAGGGTGGAATTACTTCTAAATCTCTCTTTCAATTTATAAGTAATAGGCTGGTTCCCACTAGTTTAAAAGCATAGTGTGGAGTTATTTTCATTCTGATGGTCATGCCTTCTCTAGAGACTGGTTACTGAACTGGTTTACCTGTCCTCGTGGTGCACGGATTCACTGCTCCCCATTAGAAAGTAACACCTACGTGAGCAGGGTCGTGGCCGTGGTCACCATGGTTTCCCCGACAAGCAGAACACAGCCTGGTGTGCAGTAGCCTCTCAGTATCTACTTGCTGAATAAACAAATCAATCTGCATACTTAGGTGATTTTACTAGCATTTCACTGATTGTCCTAGGAAAAGTTTTGTACAGGAGTGCCCTATTTAAGCAAAATATTCTCCTTGCTGACATTTTTGGGTTAGATTTGGACTGAAACCTTTTTTCAAAGACTGAAGATGCTGACTAAGTAACTGTCACCCTCAATATGTTCCAATCTACCTAATATATTCTTAATAATTTAAATTCTTGGAGTTCTAAAGCAGTGACTTAAAGAAATTTATATTCAGAGTTTGAATGCCACTACTGACAGAAGAATGGGGAAATTGGGGAGAGGTATTATGGTGGTCTGGTTAAGAGTGCTGGCATGGGGTACAAAGAGCCCTGGGTGCAGCTCCTAGCCGGCCACTCCTGGTGCACAGCAGCCAACTTCCCTGAGCCTCAGTTTTTCTCTTATGTAAAATGGGTATAATAATATCCACCCTCAGACCTGCTGGGATGATGACATGTGATGACGCATATAAAGCAAATAGCAAATAGTGTCAAGCACAAAGTGAATGTTCAATAAATAGCAGCTATGATAACTCGGACATTACTCCTTTCCCTGTCCAACTGGGAGTGCAACCCTCGGGTCTGGCAGCAGGGACAGGAGCTGGTTTAGTGGGGTCAGTCGACAATGTGGGACATCACATGAATAATACAGAATCTTTCCCGTACGTCAAACCTCTGATGAATCTGGGTGGCTCTAGAAACGCTTTCACTGAAGGAGAACTAGTCTTCAAAAGCTCACTCTGAGTACACCGCACTGAAGCTGGCTTTTCGCAAGTCAGAGGCAAGGGGACAGTTGCATGGACAGGATGGCACTCTGATCAAATTGGGGAGCATCAGAAAAGTTCAGAGCTAGAAAGGACATCAGCAGTCTCTTGGGGGGAATTCCTTTGTTTTCTTATAGAAATAAGTAATGGGGCCACTCAGAATCCATGTCCAGTACTGCTCCAATATTCCAAGATGCAGTTCCTTGCCTTGGTTTAATCAGGATCTGCAAAAATGTCATACTGGCTAAACAAGACACACGGTTATATGTGACTCTTAGAATAAACATCTAATTAACAAGATTTGGGATAGATTTTAGTCACAGGTTTTCATCACCCATGAAATTTACTAAGATGAAGATTCATAATGTACCACCACCACCACCAACAAAAACACCCCCCAAACTAAAGGAAAATATGTGCAGAGTGTTTTATGTGAAGGGCACTTATTTTTGGCCAAACAGTAGGCAAATAATTGCATCAAATAGTATCAAACAGCATTTATTATTGGTAAAACTGTGGGTAACAAAATAGCTGGGTACTGAATGATTCACTTGTTATCCTTATAGCTTTCAGAGTTCAAAAGTACGAACAATAGGATTAGAGCTACAGATGTAGAACAGAATCTGCTATTTTGATCAGCTGTCTGAATGTTTTGAAAGACAGAAGTATTTCTTTGGAGAAAAGAAAGAGAAACTTCTCATCCATTACTGGAAAGTAAGGTTTCTCCTTATGTACTTTTTATTTTTATTTTTGGTAATTATTATTGTTCTACACATTGTTTGTGCTTTCCTACAAGAGAATCAAAAGGAAACAAGATTGCAGAATTAAGATAATTACTAAAAAGTAAAGAAAAAGATGAAATCCTATACGATGATGTTTTCTAGGATGGCTAAAGAGAAATATCTAGGAAACAATATATTCTGGCAAGTGAAAAAAGCCACTTTTTTTCTTTATCAGTACATGGAAGAATAAAAATGATTATTAGGAAAGGCCATTATGTATGTTATAAACGGCAAACAGTCCTTTTAGGTTGGAAACCTGGAGCCTGCGAAGCAGCTGACCTGCAATGATTTCTGCCGGGTGTTGGTAGCAAACGTCTCTCAATGAATGTAGAAAATAATGACTTTGGGGCAAAGAGAACTTCTTCAGGGGGCCAATGACTTTTGGAAATACATCAAGGAAAAGTAATCTGAAGTCAAATGTCAGTAAAATAACTATGACAGGAATAATATAAAATATCTTGTAGGAATAATGCTTGGGTTATCAGCCAATGTTTCCACTGGATTTTGTTAGTAATGCTATATATTCTTTCTAAAAAAAATTGTGGTGTAATTTTCATACAGTAAGTATAATTTTATATTCAGTAAAATTCACTCTTTAAAAACAATGTACAGTTCTGTGAGTTTAGACAAGTGTATGCAGTCTTGTTTCTCCACATCCCCATCAACACATGGCATTGTCTGTCTTTTAGGTTGTAGTCATCCTAATGGTTGTGAAGTGGTATCATGTTTAAGACAACCTTATTGAGATATAATTCACATACCCGAAAAGTCACCCATTTAAAGCGTATGATGGTTTCTAGTATACTTATAGAGTTGTGCAACCATCACTGTAGACAAATTTTACCCATGTGCAAGGACAGAGGGATGTGAGTTGCCCAGCTTGTAGTACACACTCAATCAATAATGGTTACCATTAGTATTTTTGAGAATGTAAAACCTTTAAAAAATTTATTTAGTGGGGAGGAGGCAATAAATAAATAAATAAATAAATAAATTTATTCTTTAATGGAGGTACTGGGGACTGAAACCAGGACCTCATGCATGCTAAGCATGTGCTTACCACTGAGCTATACCCTCCCCGGAGGAACATAAAACTTTTGAATCTCATTTTTCCATTCATATGTTACAACAAACAATTCCTGAGAGTTTACTGTACTGATGGGCGTCATGATAGGTACTGAGTTAAAAGCAGTAAAAGTGAAACACATTATCATTTTTGTAAACTGAGGCCCAAGGAAGAGACCACTTTGTCTCCAGGTCTTTTCCTAAGAGCCAGTTTGATGAGATCATGAGGTGAGTGGCTGCCCAAGAGAAAGCAAGTGCCGCTGAGCCTGGCAAAACCCTGCTCTTCCTCCAGGTCTGGGCTGGCCTGGCTTCAGGCCGCAGAGGACAAGAAGCAGTTAGCATGGCCTTTCATCCACAAGTTCTGAGGCTACGCTGATTTGACTCACACTACAGGGAAAGGCCAGGAGACAAGCAAAGAGTTAAGGGGAGTAAATTCCTTGCATCCTGGAAGATACAATATTCTTGCGACAGTTTCAGAAAGCAAACATATTGATTATCCACTTGGCAACCAAGAGAAAAGCCAGGCAGATGCGTACCACTATCAGGGTCTTACCTGATGTGCCCACCAGACCATCAAGTAAGAGAACACTGCGATCCAGGTGATGGAGCCAAAGAACGTGATGGGAAAAAACTTCCTTGATGACTGAAAGAGAACCAGGGAGAGGGAGAGGGTGAGTGCTAACCGAGGTGAGCTGATGACTCAAAGCTAAAACCACCGATGCAGCTACCTCTCCCCCGCTGCCTATGGGCTTGGTAGAACAACACTCAACACCAATGACGGACCCACCCTTGGTCAAGCCAGGACATTAAGATTTTCTCTTGGGAATGGGAAATTGGTGGAAGCCAAATCACCGTGAAGCTAGTTCCTGAGATGGAAAAGTCTTTTGAAGAGAACGTCTGTTCCCACTGCTGGGTGCTCGGATGCTCTCTGCTCCTGCTCTCTCCAAGCCTTGGCTTCTCAGCCTTGCCTTCAGTCCCTTGTCTCCTCCATATCATCCCTCCCCCTCTTCTGCTTCCTTTTCTTTCTTCACCTCAATTTTATCAGAATCAGTTTCTGTTGTTTCAGTCCATGTATCCTAACAATCCATATGTTGGAAAACCTATGGGATTAATTACATTTAACCGGAAGGATCAACAGCTTCAAAAATTAGACTGGCTCATTTCACAGTCCCGTGAATTATGAGGAAAAGCCACACGGAAGCCGTCCCCACAGTCAATACAGATTCCTGATGAGGCCAGTCTCCGGATGGCCAGCGTGTTACACGCGAACACACAGGTAGCAGATGCCCCCTTGCGCTGCTCTCGGCAGTGGGTGCAGAATGAAGTCTCAGGAATGTTTTCTCTCCTGTTCTCCGCCCCTAACTGTGTTACATCCAATCACGCTTCTAGCACTGGGCTTTGTGCAATCTCAGGCTTAGAGTATGAGCACTTTTAAAGTTTCTTTTGAACATCAGCCCAAATCAGGCACTCCAAATGCAGTGTTTCTGATCCATCCCACTACGAGGAAACCCACGCTTTCACTGGATGGTAGCGGTGTCCTACTGATGCCCATTTTGCAAAACTGGGATCCTTTGCAACATGCTCAGATGGCAGAAGGCTCTCAGACAGTCTCTCACCTATTACTGCCAAACACTTGTTATTTCAAAGCATTCCACTTTGAGGAACAATCTCATTTTTTGCTTTCATAATGCTATCCAATTTTGTCCAGAGAAATCAATCCTGGGTTGAATTGGTTGAAAGCCATCTCAGTTGTCTGAAGGGGCGACCTTGAGCAATCACATAGAACATTTCTGCCATGACTTTTGAGAGCTTCATTACAAGGACAAGATAAACTCGTACGTGGTAACCTTTTGCATATCTATAACGATGAACGCAGTCTCTGTCGCTCCAAATGGTTTACGTTTTCTTTACTGATTTCAGGTTTTCAGCCTATGTTTTCATGATCATTCACATGATTCTGTTAAATTTCATAGTACCCATTTCTTTCTTTTAAGGGTTGTGGCTATTCTTGGGCCACTAGTTAGCAGGGATGTCTGGAAGCCTAGTGGGCTTGATTAAATTGGGGGCAGCATCAGACCACAGTGAGTAGCCACAACATTATTCTTAAAAGCTTCCCCTCTTCTTTCCTTCGAAGGAGAATATTTCAGCCAAAGACTCAGACTCCTTCAGGAGATCTGAGCGCTGTAATGGGTTATGGAAAAAAAAAGTCATCAGTTTTTCAAAGTGGAGGTTGAGACATTCACTTTGAAAGCAAATTCCTTTAAAGCTGGGAGTTCAGCTGGATTCCAGAGACTGGGTTCCCTGAGCCTTGGCAATACCTGTGCTAAGAAATCAAGTTTTCCCCAGGCAAGGCATTTATCTGATTAGGCTCCCCATTCTCTTCCTCTGGTCACAAGTCACTGTTTCAGGATCCCAGATGCAATGAGGGTTTCATCGCCCACAGTGATGCTCTGTCACCAGGAAGAGAAGGGCCCCTCTCGTGCTGTGGGGCCACACACGTGGTTTGAGTAGCAGCCAGTCTTTAGCCTTGACTCAAAGCATCCTGAGAGGGGAGTGGAGGACCGGTTCCACACTTTATGACACAGCACATGGCCTAGATATCCCAGTAGAGTCCTCACTTCATAGATTGCTCCCTTTCCAGGTTACATCTCTTACTAAGTACTAACCAATATTTTATTATTATTTAATTTTTTTTGGTACCTTACCATTTGTTCATTGATAATAACATTACAACTCAGAATCAAATTAGCTGAACATATTTCTTATCTTTCAAATATCATCCCTGAACCATAGAACATTCTGAATCAAAAGGCAGAAAGTAAGTAATCAGACTAGGAGTTAAAGGAACTAAGTTCAAATCAACATACTAGTGAAAACCTCTCTAATTCAAAATTTGATGCTTATATGAGTCTTCATGAAGAAGCCAATTAGTAATTAAGGACATCTACATGTAACTAGTGTCATATTAGGAACTCACTGAAAAAAGAAAAGTTTAAGAATAATTTTTCTTTGTAAAATTTCAGGTTTTCATCATTAACTAGGGTTAAGCAAAGGCTGGACATCTACTCTGTACCCAGATCCTGAACTAGATGTGGAACTGAAATCTAGGTCCATCCGAGTATACAGTATGTATTCCTAGATCTTAGGGCTCTAGGTTATACTCATTCCTAAAGAAAGATAGGGCCAATAATGCTCAAAATGTACCCAGCTATGGACACATAATGATCATCATCAGCAGCATAATACTAGCCTATACTCTGACTGTCAGAAAAGAAAGAGCATCAGGGAAAAATAGACCAGCATTCCAGCTGCACAGCCATCTGCCTCAGCCAGCCTCCCGTACTGTTCCTGCTTTGGAAGCATCAACAGTTCGGTTAAGTCAGACCAACCTTACCATTTCCCGACTGTCAAACTACCTTACCATTTACAAGCTCACAGCCCAGGTAATTCCTTCTTCTTTCATTTCTTTTTGGACTCTCCCTGTTATTTGGACTCTGTGGTCTTATTACAGACACCACTGCCCAGTAGCACCTGTACAATTATTTAGTTACCAGTCTCACTGGAAGGAAGAGCGCTTGAAGCCAAGGTCTGACATGTCAATTTACGGTTAGTGATGGTGGCTGAGCCTGACATCTGCTGGGATGGGCCTCATACCAATTAGCAAAAAGCAAATTGTGTCCATGTGCCGGCCATTTTGTTCCCAGTGTAATGGTTTCCTTATATAATTGACAGCTAATGTTCTCATTAGAAGCTTTGAGTACATCAGAGTGATATTTTCTTGGCTTAAAAAATGTTGCTGGACATTAGCTGGTTGCATAAATTGGCCGTCTCCTTACTTATTTAAATTCAACAAATATTCACTGAGCATTTCCTCTGTGCAAGGTTCTGGGGCATACATATTTAACAAAGTTCTCTAAAGCAATCCTATTAAAGATTAAAAGTGTGTTCTCTGGATTTTTATGACCTGTATTGAAATCCTTGCTCACCAGTTACCAGCGATGTGCTCTGAGGTAATTTGATTTCTCTAAGTCTCAGTTTCTTCATCTATAAAATGGGGGGAATAACAATATCTAGTTGTCCTGAGAATTTCATGCACATAGAGTGTCTAGAAAACTGCCTGGCACATAGTAAGTACTCAGATAATAATGGCAGTTGTTACCAGACAACAGTAACCTCATTTTGATTTTTAGGAGATGAAAAAGTTAAAACTCAGGGAGGTAAAAGTAACTATAGAGGTCTGGCCTAGAGTCTTGGCATTGCTTCTTACTAGCTGGTTGTGCTTAGATAAGTTACTAAACCTCCAGGGCCTCAATCACTTCATCTGTTCTAGAACCGTGCTTTGCACACAGTAGACACAAATACTTGGTGAATGAGCTGATGAGTGACAGAAACTGCAAATGCCTAGCTGGGTTCTCAGGTAACTTCCTAGCTTTGATGGGCCATGGTTTGATATCTCATTAGTTGCATTCCTATTATGTAAGAACACCCATCCGAGGCCATGAGAAAATATGACTTTTGGGGTCTTTGTTTCCTTCATTATTTTCAATTTTCCCAAAGGCGTGTTCCTCGCTAAGGTTTATGTTTCAGCTCTTTTACTTTTAAAACAAAGCTACTAATTTGAGAACATTACAAGAGTGAAGCCCATGTTCATTATCTGAGCTGGGAGTGTGCGTAATGCAACAAACACTGTCATATAATTTGCATATAAGTGACATGGAAATAAAAACAAGAGGGAGTACTATTTACCCTGAAATTAGGTGTATACATTTTAAAAAATCATGTTTTCCTTGTAATTATTGTCAAAGTTTGGGATGTTCATTTACATCAGTGATTCAAAAACTACTGATAATTACTAGTTTTCTCCTGTCTTTCCTCTCCCTGGATACTTTTTTCCAGAGGCCCCAGTGGCAGCAGTTCCTCCCAGGAAGAGATGAGGTCTATTTCCAAGCCTTTGAATCTGGGCTGGCCTTAGGCCTTGCGTTGACCAACAGTATGTGGTGGAAGTGTCAGCATGCAGGTTCCAAACTAGATCTCAAGAGGGCCTTGTGCCTTTCATTCCTGCTGCTCTTGGAACTGGGCCATCATGTGAATAAGCCCAGGCTAGCCTGCTCAAGGATGAGACCCTGTGGAGCAGAGACAAGGTGTTCCAGGTGACATACCCTTAGGCCAACTGGCCCCCAGACATATAAGAGAGTGGCAGAACTGTCTAGCTGAGCCCCATTTAAATTGTCAACTCATAGAATTATGGGCTAAAAACAATGCTTGTTGTTTTAAGCCATTAAGTTTTGGGGTGGTGTGTTACACAGCAAAAGCTAACTGATACAAGGTCAACCCTAAAGAAACTCCGCTGTGCTGAGCATGAGCAAGAAACCACTTAATGGTTTTTGTATCAACTGGTATGCTTTCATTCGGCATTTCACATATGCAAAGAATGACAATATAACTCAAACCAGTATGCTTTGAGAGTAAACTGGGACTTTCTCAGGCAAACTGGATATGTGGTCACCTTAAATTAGTAATACTGTATTGATGGTTATCTCTTTATGTTTTCCTGAATCACAGAAGGTCACGGCTGGCAGGCATCCTAGAGATCTTTTACCCCTGTATTTCACAGAGGAGGAACAGTGAAGTCCAGAGTCGAAAAGTGACTTTCCCAAGGTTGCACAGCTCATGAGTCATGTGGGAAAAGCCACTGTAGTTTACATGCTAGAATGAGAATGTTCTGGAGGCAGGAGACATGGGATCGAGTCTCGCGGCTCTCACTAGCACAGCTGTGCAATCTCGCCTTGTAGTTCTACGTGGGCATGCTTTGTTTCCTCTACTGAGTTTAGAGTTCCTTAAAGGATACTGGGACTGCTGTGTCTTTAGATCTTTAGGGCACAAGCCTGATGCCTGGCATATATAAATATTTGCTGAGGAAATCTAGAAACGTCCAGTGTTTCACCTGAAAGTCTCATTTCTGCTTGGAACCACACATGGTACACTCAGATAAGACAGAAAAAAACCCCCAGTCCATCCAAGGATGGCCCTGGGTGGGGGCAGTGAGCAAAAGCCCCAGGCCATGCTGCTGAGGCTGGCTCTCACGGCACGTTTCATGGCGAGTGACCAGTTAACGATACTGCAGAGGAGCGCGTGTACAGCTGCATTTTCTTGCTCTGCTCCCCTTGGGATTATAGCATCAGCCCAAGCAGCTGTTGCCATCCATGTGACTACTGCCGTGGTGGGGTCCTCTTTGTTGCCCAGGAGTTGCTGTTGAGAACTTTGACCTTCCCTAACAGCTTCCTTGACCTATCAGTTCAGTCAGAGGGGACGAGCACTTTGTTAGCCCTTGCTCTAAGAGTCCCACTCAACCTGACAGCCCAGGGCCTTGAGTCATTGGCAACGTCCTCCCATTCCTGCACATTTTCCTGGTTGCTTCTTTGGTTGTGTGTGGACATCCGTCAGTCTTATCAGCCAATCAGCCCCCTCTACTCTGGGCCACATCACACTGGCCTGCTGTGGGGATTTAGAAAACCCTGTCTGTCTCCCTGATTTTCCTCCCTGGGCTAAGCAAAAGCATTGGGCTAAACCGCAGAGCAATGGCGACAGAAAGAGGGAGGGAGGGAGAGAGAGATAATGAGTGAGTAAGCGGATGTGAGCATGCACGTCTCAAAAATGTCAGTGTGATGTGAGCCAAGACGAAACTGAACACATTCCAGCTATCTGGCTGCAGGTTTCCAGGAAGCCAGGCCTTTGCACAGAGCAGATGCTCTGTAACAGCATCCTGAACAAAGAACCCTAGATATTGATTTAAGTGAGCCACACCTGCTACATGAATCCTTTCCTTGGAAACTTCTAATGTCAGGAGTCCTTACATGAGGGGTCATTCCTGGCTGTATTTGACAAGACAAGGCTCTCTATCAGATTGGATTATTTCTAGGTCGGGCCAATAAGACAGGATTTTCCTCCAATGTTTTTCAAGTGAGGAAAAGTGGGATCATCATGGGGCTTTTGAAGGCATATGCTAAACCATGCTGGATGTTACCCCAGCATTCTGATCCAAATGCTTTTAGAAGTGATGTTTTCAGATTCCTACCCTCTGGCACCATGAAATACAAGGAAGAGCCCAAGTTGTGTGGTCGGTCACACGGGCTTGGGTCTGAATCTCAGCTGTGTGCCCAAGGACGTGACCGGGCAGGAGCTAGTTAATTTCCTTTGCCTGAGTTTCTTTCTACTTATGCCAAATATATATATGCATATATATTTATATTTATTCTTATATTAGGTGTTTCCTGAGATTCTACTATAACATTTTTGGAAAACACCAAGGCCAGAGTGAGATACATAGCAGGTACACACTTCTGTTGAATAAGGATGTGTGTGTAGGGTTGTAATAAAAAGTAGAGCTGCTTCTCCTTATCTCTTATTAGTTCTTTGACCCCTTGGGGCAATGGCCCAAGATCCCAGTTTAAAAAGACAGGGGAAGGGTGTTCTTTTGATTTGATCTACATTCAGATTGTCCTTTGCTGATTACAAGACGGCATTGTGTTCACAGCACCCAGTGCATAATAATGGTAGATAATAATATTGATTATGGTGATGATAATAATACCGGAGGGAGCAGACCAGGCACATAGGCATTTGCACGATATGAATGCATTTCTTTAAATTACTTTTTGAGCTGAATGAATAATTCACGTTCACAAATATTCAACAAAATGTGAGTCACCCTTCTGCCTTGGACCTTCAGTTCCCCTTTTCAGAGGCCATCGCTGTGGTGGTTTTAAAACAAGGTTGCTGATTCTTTGAAACTGCTCCCCTCAAAGGCGTCACATGCCATCGACACTGATATATTCTGGGGAGACTTTCCGTCTCCTCCCCTTTAATCGGGACAGACTCAGCGGCGGCTTTGGCCAGTAAAATGCAGTGGAAGTGACTCTGGGGCTTACGAGACAAGGCCTCAGAGCCCGTGGGGCGTCTCCTCTTGCTGCTGGAACATCCACTGCTGGACCCTGGTCTCTCGTGAAAAACACCTGACTATCCTGATGCCCCCGTACTGTGAGGACGCATAAGTCACATGGAGAGGTCACGTGCAGACAATCCCAGCTGAGCCCAGCCTGGGAACCATCTTTGCCCCAGTGTCAGAAACATGAGTGAAGAAATCTGCAGATGATTCCAGGCCCCAGCCACTCGAGTCTTCCCAGCTGAGGCCCCAGACAGCACGGAGAGAGACAAGACATCCCCAACGTGCCTATTTGAATTCCTGATCCACAGGATCCATGAGCAGAAGACAGTGGTTGTCACTTCACATCACTAAGTTCTGGGGTGGTTCATTACGTAGATTCGATAACCAGAACAACCACTATCACCGTGTATCTGTCCAAAGAAATGTCAGGGATATATAAGTATATGCAGGTGTATGCGTCACTCCCTTTTCTTTTTAAGAAAAGTGGAATCAGACTATGCATACTGTTCCATGCTGTGCTTTTTACAAGGAATCAGTTTCAAAAATGCTTTACTTACAGGTTTGCGGACATCAGGTAAGGTAATCCAGAGAGGAAACACGATGGGCAAGACAATGAGGAATGTGACTTGTTTGCGGGGATCCGCAGGCCAGGCCAGGCTGAGAGGCTGGTCCTCCTCATCTTCACCAGTCTCTGTGGTCTGTTGTAGAGAAAGAGAGAGAGAGAAAATACATAGAAAGGCAGTAATGTCCACAGGCCGCAGAGCCAGCAGGGAGGCTCCAGACGCATCAGTTTTCTTGGGTCATCACAGCAGCTGCATCCGAGTGATTTTTAGGTTTGTCAGAGGACCCCTGTCCCAGCCTGAACCCCATAAGCAAACAATACGTCGCTCAGCCATGAGAATTTAAGAGCTTTCTTTTCTTTCCCTAAACATTTTCCAGGTTCTCACTTCCGTGAACCAGTCATTCAAATGGAATGCATCCAGCCACGGTCAATGAACCTCTTAGAAGAAACTGAATCTGCAGAGAGAGGAGTCCAGTGCCCACGTCCTTCTCCTCCGTTCTCCTGGAGGAGAAAGCCACGGGATTCAGGATCCTTGGGAAGAATTTAACGTTTTGTTTTTCATTTTTGATTGTAGTCGATTTACAATGTTGGGTTAGTTTCTGGTGTACGGCACAATGATTCAGTTTTATATATATGCATGTATGTTCCTTTTCCTGTTCTTTTTCATTATAGGCTATTACAAGATGTTGAATATTGTTCCCTATGCTGTACAGTAGGACCTTGTTGTTTAGGGAAGAATTTTTTTTAATTAAAGAAGTTTAAGAGCATGGGTTTTGACTGGTTAGCTGAAAGTCACCACAGAAACCATTCAGTAACAATACCCGACTCGCTTCACTGGCCCTGGAATCATTAAGTTCATGGATTATTGAGTGGTTGTGAGTTTTTAACCTGTTTAATCCTACAGTTAAATTTGAAACCATTTCACCTCCGGCTAAAGGCTTATTATGCAAATACGTATCATATTTGCAGAGAAGCAGAGTGCGGAAGTAGGGCAAGACGCTAAACCTGTGGGTGTCAAGCGCACAGGGCCGCAGAGCCAGGGGTAGACTTCAGACTTTGTAACTTGGCAGCACGCGGCCAGTGTTTTATTCCCTGCCCGCTGAAGTCAGCAGCTTCTGACACCCCAGAGCTGAAAGGGACTTAAAGAAGGTGGATCTGGGCCTGGCAGGATGACCATCAGCCTGTCAGACGGGCCCTCCGAGCGTCCAAAACAGCACTGCAGGCAGCATCCATCACTCCCTTCCCTGCTTGTTTCCAGATGAAACTGCCGCAGCAGGACCAAGCATCAGATCTAAAAATATCAAGAGGAACTTTTCCACGGATGCTTCCTTTTGAGACCACATAAATAACCTGCACAGGCTTCAAACAGCTCCTGCACCGCACCCCTACCCCCTGCCCCGCCCCCGCCCCGGTGGCCCTGGCTTCCAGCACGCTGCACTATTTCAAGCGGCAGCAATGAATCCCACCAGCACCACTCTCCCTAAGGCGGCGATAGGTGGGCCAGGCTCGGGCCAGCTGCTATGGAGAAAAAGGGCTAGAGGCAGGGCTGGGTGTGAGGCCCAGCTCACTGCAGTGCTATGTTTACTTATTTATAACTTACGCCCTAGCATTGCCAAAAGGATTTGTAGTGGTTTACACAATCACCCCCATACTCTCTCCAGGAGTTCAAATTTTAAAAAGACAGTATTTAAAAAAAAAGTTATATTAAGCCATACTGAAAAAAGGTTCTTTTTCTTTGAGTGTATGTTCTTGGCAGCGGGTGAAAGATTTTTAAGCAGCAAATATGAGGGAATTAAGAGGATTAGGTAATAAGGCAGAATGAGGAAGTGGGCGCAGTTTATTTTGGTTGTCTGGATTCTCATTAAATACCCTTCTTATGCTCGTCATCTCTTCTCTATGCAGTGTGTCAGAAAAGAAGAAAGAACTAAAATCAACAGCCTGTGTTTCTACCCTAGGAAACTACAAAAAGAAGAGCAAGTTAACTCCAAAGTAAGTAGAAGAAAAGAAATGATAAAAATTAGAGCAGAAACCAACAAAGCTGAAAAGAGGAAGTCAACAGAGAAAAGTAACAAAACTAAGAGCTGTTTCCTCTGCTCCGCAGTTCACGAGGGTCCAGCCACTGCTTCCCAGACCCATCCCGAGGGCTCCCATCCCTGACAGAAGCGTGGGCGTGCTGTCCCTGGCCCCTCTTCTGAGCCACTTCCACCTCCTCCCAGAAGATGTAGCAGAGGCAGAGAGTATCACTCCCTATTGGGCTCACCAGCCTCCAGCGTGTCAGCTGGCTACATAAATAGTCTCTGTGCAGTGGGATCGACGAGGATGCAGGAGAGAGGTGCATTTTAACTGTTCCCTCCCAGATAAGATCTTTCTCCCTCAATCCAAATGAATGACTTTCTTCCCCCGCTGACCTGGTAGATGCCTTAGAAACAGGAAGACCATGGGAGAGTTGAGACTTTGCATCATTCCTAATTAGAACCCTGTCTCATATAAGGTAAGTGGTTTTACTCAGGCAGAAGATTCCAGCACCTCCTTGAAGACCCAATAAGCTGATCTGATGAGTTCATCAAGGCTCCTCCCAATTCTAGGGTTGACACTCCCCCCAAGTCTGGTCCCCCACTGCCGTCTGCAATCTAGTGACTTCTCTCTAAACTCTAGGCTAACCTTTTTCTGAGAAAAAACGAAAGCAACTCTTTATGACTCATATCATTTTAATGACACCAACAGATGGTGACATTTCATCAATAACCCTTCTGCTTATAACCTACGGATTAGCTCCTTTCTCCATCTGCCAAAGTCACCAGGCAGGCAGTGCCACTCGCAAATAGCAGAAAATAATTGTCTGTTTAGATGTATAAGCTCTAAACACACTACTGTCCAATGCAAACAATTAGCTATATTGTACGGCTTCCAGAAGCTACACTTGAGGTGGCTGTTGCTAGGGCAGAAATGGACAAGAAGAAGGGACTGTGTCTCAGTCTGTACAAACAGTGCTCTCCGTGGGGACTTCATGGCCTCTTGGGGATGAGTCTAGCTATAGAGAAGTACATAACTCTGTGATGGAGCCGTGAGGTGCCTGGGGAGTGAGGCTGTCAGCATATTTTAAGGGGAAATTCTCTTTGTGTCTTTGCCAAGTTCAATCTCACTCTGGTTCAATGGGCGACAGCTTGCAAGCTAGTTAGAAAAGTGAAAAAAAATGTTGTTCCAAGTCTGAGGCCCGTGTTGCCTTTGCCCAAGCTGCTGGCATGCTCACTTGTCCCAGCCCCAGGAGAGGCTGGGCATTGATTTCCCAACGTCTCCTGCAGTTGTCTCATCCTGGCTTTAACCTTGCCACAACCCACCCTTACCTCCTAAAGCTTCCGTAGAATGTCCACAAAAAACGAAACGATGCAAAATGATCCAGAAAAAATTCAAATGACTCGTGATACAAGGGTTTAAAATAGTTTGATACCTGCTGGGGTCTCTGTTAGAAGCCCTAGAGTTGTGTAAAACTGGGGCCGCCAAGGACTGCTTCAGAGCCTTGTAATCTCTGACGTGGAAAATCTGAGACTAAAACACACGACTCTAAGTTCCCACATAGTGATGTTCCGGCTGTCAGGTCTTAAAGGAGCCAGTGCGGCCTGGTGGGAAGAGTCAGTGGTGGAGAATCAGGAACCCTGGCTGCCCGCCTCTGCTCGAGCTGGGGTTCCTTGGGTGGTGACCACCATCATCTGCAAGTGCACACTGAGCACTTGGAGGTAGAAAGCATTGCCCTAAGTTCTAGGACTCTTGATTTGTAGCAGACTTGAAAGGGGAGACCGAACAAATGGCTCCGAAGAATTTATTTTTTATCCAGTTGTGGGGATGCTGGCAGAATATGCAAGAGATTCTGATTGTTCCCCAACACCTGTTCTGCCTGTTATGGATAAAACTGTGTCCTCCCCAAACTCGTATGTTGAAACCCTAACCCCTAGGACCTTAGTTGTGACTGTATTTAGAGATAGCACCCTTAAAGATATGATTAAGTTAAAATGAGGCCAGTAAGGCGGGTCTTAACCCAATATGACTGGTGTCTTTATAAGAAGAGGAGATTAAGACTCGTGGAGAGACCCAGGGCTGTGCGTGCACAGAGGAAAGGCCACGTGAGGACGCAGCGAGAAGGCAGCCAGCTGTAAGGAGAGGGGCCCGACAGGAAAACAACCTGCAGACACCTTGGGCTCGGGTGTCCAGCCTCCAGACCTGGAGGAAACACATTTCTGTAGGTTAAGCCACCCAACCTGTGCTATTTTGTCATTGCAGCCCTAGCAACCTTCTATACTGCCTTGTGTTTTAGTGATGGGAAGCCTACTTTAACCCGGGCCTGGAGAAAGACTCTATTTTCAGCCTCCCTGGAAGCTAGGTGTGGCCATGGGATTAAGTTCTGGCCAATGAGGTGTAATGGGAAGTATCCTTGGCAACTTCCCGGGTGTATCTTTAAAGGGTGAAGGTGTCTCCTTCATCACTCCTTCCTCCCTCCTGCGGCCATGAATGGGGACATTTTGGCCAGAGCTTGAACACAAGGTGGAGAAACAGCACAAAAGGATCTGAGCTCTTACACCTGTCAAGAGCCATTCTAGCCCTGGGCTGCCTATACTGACTTGAAAGAGACAAAAAATTCTATTTTATGTAAGCCACTCTTATTTTGGGTTTTTGATTGCTCATAGCGGAACCTTACCCTGGCTGATCCAGTGTCCTCTTTATGAGGAATCAAGGGAGAAGAATCTTTGACATCTCAGCGCTAGGAAAAGTCACGCTTCTTTTGAGAAACTTTGAGAAATCTCAGAAATACCAGGGAAATGATACTATTTTTTTCTTTGCTTTGCACTGGAGAGCTCAGAGCTAAATTTGTAACCCCCATCCATCAATCACAGCACTGGAATCTTCCCTCCCCTTTACTCCAGTCTTACTTCTTTCCTTTCCTTTCCACCCCTTGCTGAATTTTCCTAAACTGTTCACTTTATCCTTCTCCATCATTTTTGCAAGCAAACTTGAATCTCTGTGAAACAAGATGGGGCAGATCTAAAAATGAGACCCCACAGTGGTCTAACATAATTTTGGGGAGAACTTAATCAGGGGAGAGGAGATGTCATTCTCCGTGAGAACTTGTGACAAATGGACAAC